GGGAGGTCGCCAGCTTGTGGGAGTGGGCTGAGGATGACTGGCAAATAGGTTCTGGAGTAGAGGTGCTGGAAGGGGTGGGCAGAGAAGTAAGGATAAGGGGCAGCTACCTCTGCTGAAGATGGGACTCTCGTAGGGGATCTTGTTTCTAGTCTCGAGGCTAGAGCAGTTCCAGCGCTGGTCCCGGAACTGGTGCTGGCACTCGTGGATGGCAATCTGGATGCCCTGGATGGCTGAGGCAGCCACGTCAGGGTGGCGAACACACACCTCCATCTGCCGTCTGCTCAGGCCAGGCAATGTCAGACACACCGTGTTGGCGTTGAGCACGGGCTCTGGGGGGAGGCGGAAGCCTAGAATGTCGTTGGGTGCTGACCTGCAGGACAGTGGGATGGGGCAGAGTGAGTGGTCTGAGGGGCTAGGAAGGCCCCATCTAACAATATGCACTCTGTCCCACTGGCCATAATCCCACTCAGTTCTGACCTCTGCTTTTGAAGAAGCTTCCACCCATCACTCTACCCCTAAAGCATTCTTTTCCCCTTGACCCTCCAATACAACCCACCAGCTGCACACCCACACAGGTAAACATGTGTGAATGCACACATATCCGGTATGCCTGTGCTCACAGGATTTCATAAGTACACCCCCAGGCATGGATTCTCACATTCAGCATTCCCCAGGAGACCACTACCAAAAGCATGCTTCAGACAGTCACACTTCTGCACATAGTATGGTGGACACACACACTCACACAGGAACACTTGCACACATGACCACTTCCTCTAACATACTTACATGCACATACACAGACACAAACACACACACACGTTCATCTTAACATACACTGCCCCATCAGCTCTCACAGTCACACATGTGCATACACAGGCTGCTGTTCACAACATAGCTTGCTGGATTCACCCTTACACACACATACATATGCATGTGTGTGCACACGCATGCGCACATACATATATACGCACACAGAGAACACTTCCAGCTGCAGTCTCTCATTGACACCCCCCCCCACTACTCCCTTCCAGTCCCCAACCTTTGCCCCTGCCTGAGGGTGATCTCCAAGGTGGAGCAGGGCAATTCGGGCTTATTCCTGGGGTGGGGATATATTCCCCCAGTATGGTGGGGAGTCCAGGTTGGCACTTGCTTCCCCCCAACATGCACCTCCCCTAGGAGTAGCCTTCACTCTCCTGGGCACTGCCCTGTCTCCCTGGACTGCCCCTATTACGGTCACCAGCTCAAACCCTCCTGGGAGGCCACTGTCTTTGATTGGGCACCGGCACTTTCCTGCCGCACTACCCCCCTTCCTTACGGGGCCTCTCTTCCCAGCAGGAGCGCCAGAGGCCCCTGTGTCTGGGGGTCCCAGCTCTCCAGGAGGCGGGGCGTAAGGTGAGGGCTCACCTGGGCAAGGCAGCAGCCAGCAGCAGTAGGAAGAGCAGGAGAGCGCAGAGCGCGGGCCGCGGCTGGGGCCAAAGTCGGAGCCGCAGCCTGGGGCAAGGGTGGGTGCTGCCCATGGCGCAAGGGCTGTGACCAGCCGGGGAATGGGGGGCTCACAGCCCGGCGGGACCGGCGAGCCAGGGGCGGCGGCGCATGATCCGCGGGGGTCGGGGCAGCTGCGACAAACCACTCCGACTCGGGTCACAGCTCCGCGAGCAGACGGCGCCCGCCTCCCCGCTCCATGGGGCAGCGCCCCCGGGCACCGCCCTCGGGGGGGGGGGAGCGGGCGGGCGCGCACCGGGCACCTCCTGGCACAGGGGTCCGGGGAATTTCCCGAGGCCCCCCTGTGACAACTCCCGGTGCCTCTTGAGGGTAAGGGGGGCCCGGAGGTGCGGCGGGCTGGGGACGCGAGGCTGGGGTGCTGGGGAGCCCCCCAGAGCAGCGCCGCGAGCCTGCGCTTCCGAGGGAGGGCGTGCGAGGCGGGCGGGGAGGGAGGGGGGGCGGCGCTGTCTGTGCCCGGCCCCACCGCCCGGAGAGTGAGTGACTGTCCCAGCTCCGGGAGCTCCGCCGCCTCCCCCTTCCCCCCCCCCCCAAGTCTCAGGGCTCTACCCCACGTGACGTCACGGCGCGGGGAGGGGGTGGGGGTGCGGTGGAGGCGCTTTACGCGTCCAGAGGCCGCTTTGCCTGTTCCGGACCCGCGGCGCGAGCGGGCCTCCTGGAGGGGTGGTGGAGGAGAGGCGCTGGGGTCGTGCAGCGCGAGCAAAGGGAGGTGCGCTGCTGGGGAGCGCTGGGGGCGCGGGGTGTGGGGGGAAGGTGTGCCTGAATGAGACTCAGCTGCTGGGGAGCGGTCCCCCAATACACACACACACCTGCAGGGCCTGTAGGGGAGGAGCTGGCCCCTCCATTAGCCCCATCTCCACTCCAGGAGGGACTTCCCGGGTCTGGCTGGTGCAGGTGTGGGGTCCTGCAGAGGACTGGCAGCCTCTGGATCGTGCTCTCCTCTGCGTGACCTTAAACAGGTGCCTGCAGCTCACTGAGTCACCTCTGCCCCCTGTGGGAAATGAGATTAATAAGGTCTACCTCCTCTGGCCAGTGAGCCAGTGAAGGCAAAATGCAGGGACGCCAGTAAACGCTTGTCTGGGAGTAGATCCCCCTGGGATGGATGGAAATATTGGAGAACCTTTTAATCTTAAAAGTGTGCTTTGAGTTCATCCTATTTTGTCCCCTTTTATTTCACAAGAAAATACTGATGCTCAGAGAGGGTCATGACTTACACAAGGTCACACAGCAAGTTAGTGGAAGAACTGCACCAGATTCCAGTTCTCTTGATTTAGCATAGCAGCGGCAGCCCCAACTCTGAGTGAGTACTATTTGCTTGAACCCCTCCACAGAATCTCTGGTCTTGCCCTGGCCCTGCCACCTGTACTTGATCCTCCGGGAGCTCCCCAACATCAGCCTCCTGGTGCATGTCCATACCTCTCTGGGATCCCTTCCTGTGCTCTCACACCAACTGGATACCAGGCTTGCCTCAGTATGGGGTGCTGGACGCAGGCAGGGGCTTGACCCTGACAGTGAATCCACCCTCTGTGACTTTGACATGCCCCCTTGGAGATGGGCAAAGCCTGCCATTCTGGGCACACACCTCCCTCCCAATTTCACTGCCCCTCTATCTGAAGACAGCCCCTCCTGGTTCAAGAACAGAACTACTGGAGCTCTGGGCCCCAAGACAAAAGGGGCCCATTCCTGGAATTGTCCATCCCCGGGGTATTGGAGGAGAGGGGTGGGGCTTTCCTTGTCCCCAGACTGTCAGGTGGTGAGGACCGCCTGAGCAACAGCAGGCTGATGGCATACTCCCCCCTCTTCCCCCATCTTTGCCGGCAGCCACCACTGCAGCTGTCAGGAATTAAGGGCTTGAGGCTGCTGGGGGTGGGGGTGGGGCCATAGGGGGAGCAGTCTGGCTGGATGGCAGGAAAACAGCCAGGGGCAGGAAGCAGTCTACGTCAGTCAGAGCCTCGTTTGACCCCAGCAGCCCCCTGCCCTTCCCACCCCCCTACCCCCCTCCCTTCCGTACTGCTGCAGGGACAGGGATTGCTTGGGACAAGAGTTTGGAACCATACTCAATACAGGAAGGAGGCGTGAGCCAGGGTGGGAGAGAGCACCAGCTGGGACAAGCCAGACTGGAGAGAGTCAAATTCTCATTGACTGTTGGGGAAACTGAGCCCCAGAAAGGATTAGGAACAGGCCCAAAATGATGCAGGGACTGGGCTTCTAATCCAGGTAGCAGGCCTGCTTACCTCATGCCTCCCATGCCTAGTGCTCTCCCTAGTATTTCCCCCACCAGAAGCATCCCCTGAGGTAGGCCATTGTGGGAATTACTGATCCTGCGTCCTCTGCAGCTGAATCAGCCTTTTCAGGGGCCAGGCCTGGAGGCCTGCTTTTCTAACTAGTATCCCAAGTGATCTTCATGAGGACTCTACTTGGAAAATGCTGCAGACTTGGGTTAGTGGCTGAATTTGTATCCTTTCTGACTAGGTAGGGGCTCTTCTCCCCCACCTGCCACCGTTCATGAAAAACAGACTTGCGACAGGGGCAACCCCTATCGACAACCTCCAGGCCCCGCCCTGGCCCTACCCTGGGCTCTGGCCCTGAGCCCAGCCCCGGCCTGAGACCACAATTACAGGGGCCACTGGGGTGGAGGGAGCACCTCCAATGAAAGGCAGTTCGGAGAATGGTTCCAGCTGTGCAGTCTGGAGGAGCATTCAGGGAAGGGCCAGGGAAGCCACCAGGATGAGAACAGGTGGGACCCTGATGGCCCTGGTCCAGCAGAGGCCTGTCTCAGTCCTGATGCTCTACTGGAGAAGCCTGTGTTGGTGAAGAAGAGAGAAAAGGAGGTCTGATTGATAGGGGGACTCTTAGTGTTACTGTCCAGGCCTCAGGGGCCACTGTCCCTCAGCAACATAAGGGAATAGCCCAGTGCTTCAAGCTTCCAAATTCCTAATGTTTGGATAGTGAAGGGAAGGGCCAATGTCTCCCGAGCCCTTGGCCTCAGGCTGATCCTGGGCCTTCCAGCTGGCCTACTCGCCCATCTGGCAGTGTTCCTGGATGTTCCTGATGTGGTCACACACACATCTGGGGTGCCTCTGTACTCTTCTCCCATCTCCCCAGTTCCACATGGTCCCCCACCAATCAGCCAGTGGGGGGCCTTGATGGCCCAGACCATGCCTGGGGCTGAGCAGCTGGGTGAACAAGGATGGGGGAGAGGGGTGTGTGAAGGGGCATTTCTGAGCTCTGCTCCCAGCCCCTTTCCCAGGCAGCAGTGCAGGAGCACAGAGCCATCTCTGAGCTAATGAGGATCAGGCAGTGTTCAAAAATGGTGCCTCCTGCACCATCACAAAGGCAGTGCCCAGATGCTTGCTGGCTTCATCGTTTAAGACAGACCGCTAACATGGGACTCATAGTTTGATTGCAACGCACTCTTACAATGTTCTGAAAAGAGGGGCTAGCAGATACCCCCACCCCATGATGGCGCATCTGAGGCTTAGAGGTCGAGCTAGCAAACTCAGCCATTTTTTTTGTCACTGTATTACACTATTTTCTCTGAGTTCCTTTTAATCTGGGATGCTGTCAGTTCATGCCATGGCCTCATTTCCCCTCTCTGGTATCATGAAGGATGCCCAGTATCACCCACCCCATACTATCTTCCCAGATCAGGCTGTAGAGACTGGGAGGCAGGCATCCAGCCCCAATCTGGACCATTGCAGAGGTCCCAGACAGTCTGGAACCCTAGCAGCTTGGTCCAAGATGTCCATGAGTCTCCTTGCTTCTTTTTGAGCTACCCTCTCCTGCCCACCACTCTGTTTCCCAGATGTCTTGCAGTGCCTGTCATTCCCCTTAATAGGAAATTTGGCTCTGTGCACCCCCTGGTGGTCTCTGGGGGAAGTGCATGAGAGTAAAAGCGCCCAGAGGTATTGTACCCAGGCCAGAGCTCTGGGGAAGGCAGAGCTTTGATTGTGAACTCAGCCCTTTCAGAGGTTCATTTTTCCTCCATGTGGCTCATGGTCCCAGTTTGATTCTCTCTCCCCTTGATAATTACCCAATAGGGGCCTCCCTGGTGGCGCAGGTGGTTGAGCGCCACACTGTGAGGCTGTCGGCAGTCTCTGCAGCACGGGTTCGATCCCAGCCGGCCGGCGAGAATCCCACATGGCGAAGCAGACTTCTCCTGTCATGCCCGCTGCTCCCCTCAGCAGTGTGTTTCGGTCAGTCTGCCTGTTCTGCGCCCCGCTCTGTCTCTGGTGAATCTTCTTACCCTCCCACACATCTGGCCTGTACCACGGTTCTTGTATAAAAATAAATAAATCTTTAAAAAATATTACCCAACATCCCTTGTTTAGAGAGGCTCTTCATCCAAATTCTCCATGACATATCTGAAGCCCAGGCAGCCAACCTACGGGACCCAGGAGGAAGCAGGAAGGAAAACATAGGCAGCTCTTCCTTCCATCTGCAGCCTGATAACCCTTTCCACATTTGCCTTGTTCTGGGGCCCCACTGTGATCCTTGAGGGCCTAACCAGGAGAGGCCATGGAGGTGGATGCAGAGGAATTGTGGCAGGAAGACAGAGGCACAGGAAACCACGGTTAGGGTCTGCCACATCCAAGATGAGTTCTGGGCCTCCCTGTGGCACAAGGGGTTAAGACGCAACCTATGAAGCTGTCTGCAGCCACTGCAGAATGAGTTTGATCCCCAGCCAGGGAGCTACCCACATGGTGCGGCAGACCTCTCCTGTCTCACACGCTGCTCCCCTCAGCAGTGTATTTTAGTCAGTCTGCCTGTTCTGTGCCCCACTCTGTCTCTGGTGAATCCTCTCAACCCACACCTCTGGCCTGTGCCCCAGTTCTTGTATGCATAAATAAATAAATATTAAAAAAAAATGAGTTCCCCTTCCTTCTGTTTCATTTGAAGAACTCTGTTCTCCCTGTGCCCCCAATCCCCTGTGTTCCCCAGTCATGGTAGTAAATCTCCATGGAAATTGTTATTGGCTCTGGGACAGGTGAGTGACCCAAGCTGACCCAATAAAGGTCTTTCTTGGGAATTCTACCAAGGTCATTATTTTTTTAATCATCAGCACTAAGAATGTCGGCATTGGACTGCCAGCAGGAGAGCATGAAGACAGTTTGAAAAAAGAGGCAGACATAGCAAGAACAATAAGTGTGGGGGTGGGGGACGAGGGACAGAGATGAGAAAAACAGAGATAGACTGGGTGGGAGTCATGATATCATGACATCATTTGAACCCCAGGATTCAGCCACGGCTGAGGTTACTTTCCCCTAGATATCCCAGGTATGCAACCCATTCGTGAATTCCCTTTGGCCTAAGCTAGTTTGAAAGGTCTGTCCTATACTTGCAAAGCATCAGTTCTATCCTCATTCTCACAGAAACCATCATTCATTAAACATAAATTTGACATAAATCATTATGTGTCAAATACTGTGCTAAGTGCTTTTCATATCTGAGAAAAACTCCTCCCCACAATGCTGCAGGACGTGGATGGATTACAATGGCTGCAAATTCTCTGCCATTCCTCCCATTGGGAGTTGGTCTGTTTCTCCTCCCCTTGAATTTTGGCTGGTTCTGTGACTTGTGTTGAACAAGTGAAATGACAGCAGTGTTGTGTAACCTCCAAGTCTGTACCTACGGGGAGACTTGCAGTGTTTGCCTTCAAACTTCGATAGAGTGTTTGGCACACTCTATTTTGAAAGCCAACCTTGTGTAAGATATTTGATATCCCTGAGGCCACCATGCAGTGAGGAAGCCCACGCTGGCCGCATGGAGAGAAGGCCACTGGGTAAGCTCTGAAGCAGTAGACATAGGAGTAAATCTTCTTGGACTGTCCAGCCCAGCCCAGCCCAGCCCACCGGTGAATGACCACAGCCAATAGTTCCTCCGTAGGGAGGAGAACCACCCGGAGAAGTTCCAACAAATTCCTAACCTCGAGGATAATGGGAAGTAGTGACTTGGTGTCATTACATAGCAATGAATAACTGAAATAGGATGCTATTCCCATTGGCTAGGCAAAGCCTGAACATGGCCTAAATTATTGACTTCTAAGCAGCAGCATCAATTTCAAATCCGAGTGTCTAAATGAAAAGACCACACTTTGCCCTACCTACCTTGGTGGGGATAGGACGCCACTCCCCATTCCAGTATTTGTACTGTGGGGAAGTTGGGGGCTTTGGCTATGCCCTCCCCCATTCTCTCTGGAGGAAGAAGGCAGCATGAAGTTCAGCTCTGGAGCACTCAGAACCCCAAAGGCTTCCGGAGATGAACCAGAAGGAAGGAACCATGGTGGGAGTTCTAGGGAAACCTCAGGGCGGCCTTGCTTCAACAACCCTTCTGACTGTGACTAGAATCACTGTCTGGGCAAACTTTGCAATGTTAATGGGGATGCAGTTAGTTTTGATGGCAGCCAAGTCTGGTGTTACTAAAGACATTTTCGCATCACATTCTAGTTTATAAAGTGCTTTAATTTTATGGGCCTGGGTAGCCTTAAAAGTCTACCCTCTAATTCCCCAGGGTCACAGAAACCAAAGGCCTCAAGCTCCCTGAGCAAAGGGCTAGTAAGAGCTAAATAAACCACCAGGAGCTCTGACCTTTTGTTCTGGACTCTCTCTGCCGGCACCTTTAAAGAGGGGCTGCGAGTTCTCTCCCATTTTACAGACCCAGGTCCTAGATGTGTGACAACAGTCAACAAGAAGGGAGAGGCTAGGTTCCTCACCAGAGCATCCAGGAGAGTCCAGGAGAATCCAGGAGGGGAGAAGAGATAGGGGCCCAGGGTGATGATCCCTGAGATGATATCTCTACAGAAACCATCTCATTTTTTAATACTCCATCCACATGAGGCCCCCGGCAGCCTGCAGGAGACCAGCCCCTCTCCCAAACTGCGGGCCCAGTCCTATGGGTTTAAATATCTTTATTGATACTAAACTCACCCACCCATCTCATGGCCAGCAGTTCTGACGAGCCCAACAATCAGAGGCCTAGAGACTGGCTCTTTGGTTTCCATCTGGGCATCTGGGGGCGAAGAAGAGACTGGGAAGCTGTGTAGTCTTCCCCACAAGTCCCCAGAGTGCCTCTCGGGGTCCCCTCTGGTGCCCTGGGCCTTCAGGGGCGGGCTTGCGTCTCAAGCACCCCCCACCTGTTTCCAGAGGCCTGGGAGATGGGCTGTCGCAGCGGGAAGCTGGGCCGGGATAGCGCCCCCTGCTGGAGCGCAGAGGCTCTGCAGGGCCCTGGAGGCGGCTGTGCGCAGCTTGGAGAGCCGGGCAGCATCAGAGGCAGAGGCTGAGCTCCTTGCGCACGCGGCAGCGGTGGCACTGCACTACGCAGCACCAGTGGAAGCGGCACAGGCAGTTCTCCTCCAGCTGCACGCTCTCCTGGCGGTGCCCGCGGCCGCAGCACAGCAGGTCGCAGCCGCTCAGGTCCGGGGCGCTGCTGTTGCAGGCGCGGCCGCGCGTGCCAGGTGACCCCGTGCGCCGGTTGGGGGCGCAGAAGTCGGGCGAGTCTGCGGCATAGAGTAAGTCAGCGTGGCCTGGCGGCTTGAGAGTGCGCACCGCGGGCAGCAGAGCCTTGCCGTCGTTGGTGCCCATGACACGCGAGGCGCCATGGAAGCGCTCGAGCAGCCGCGCGCCCACCTCCCGGAACGGGGGCAGCTTCTGCCAGCAGGTGCGCAGCGCGCAGGAGCCAGACAGCCCGTGGCACTTGCACTCGGTGCGTGTGTGACTCCGGACGGCCTGCGGGGGCAGAGGAGCGGGCAGATGGGGACAGATGGGGGGCGCGGGAGAAGGGAGATGGAAAGGAAGCGCAGAACCTTCTGCGACCCCACCCCAGCCCCGCGCAGGAAAAGGGGAAGGCAAGGCGGGAAGAGGAATCAGTAGCACAGCAGAGCGCGGAGGAAAAAAGGAGGGAAGGAAGTGGGAAGCGGGGGACAAAAGAGAAATCGGAGATTCCAGGATCCAAAGCCAGGAATGGGGTGAGAGGGCAGAATGAACAACAGGGCGTGAAAGTCTCCCTGGAGGTGGGGGTGGAGCAGAGATGGCGGCTCTGGAAAGCCCTGTTTCTCCTTCCAAACTGATCCCTTCATTTCTGCACCTTAAGGCCTCAAGCAGGGTTGAACAGAGACCCAGAGACAGCGGCCCCGGAGTGTCCCCAGCCCTCTCTGACAAACTGTGGACTTATGCAGGCGTTTCTCAGTGGACCCCCTGAAACCCCCAGCCCTATGCCTCAGGTCTGAACCCTAGAAGGCACTGTGTGTGTGTATGTGTGTGTATGTGTGTGTGTGTGTGTGTGTGTGTGTGTGTGTGTCTGTCTGTCCCTAGAGCACCCTGGAACTGAGGCTTAGGGTGCTGAAGGACCCACTGTGAATGCACACTGAGACGGGAAGTCAGGAATCCTGCCCATTATTTGTGTCTGAACTGGGGTCTGAGAGTCACAACCCCACTAGAGATTTATGGGTCATATTACCCAGGAGGATCGTCTCCCAAATCTCAGGGTCGGGGGGGCAAACCTGATCTATAGACAGGTTTGTGTGTGCTCCTCCCAGACTCCTCTGGGGGCCCCACTCCAGGTTCCAACCTGGAACCTTCGGGTCCTCCTCATTGCAGAAGGAATGGGGAGCCTGCCAGCATTCTAGCTAGGGCCTGGGCTGGGGTTGATGGGCAGGCAGTTGGCAATTGCCCAAATACAGTCATAGCTTTCCTGGCCTAGTCTGGCCCCCTCCTACTTCCTACTTCATTCCTTCCCAAGCCCCTTGCTCCACGGGCATGTTCTAGCCCCTTTCCAGGCCTTCTGCACTGCTCCAGACCCCATACCTTTACCCCAGTTTCCATCCTTTCTTTCATGCCCAGACTTTGTCTCCCCTCTCTGCCCCTGTCCTGGCAGCCATACCTCTGCCTACACCAAGGTTTACACCACCTGTGCTGTCTCAGGGGTGTGCCCTCCCTGCCTTGGATCCCTAAAGGCCCTGGGTCCTGTTCCCTAGGTGTGCCTTCCCCACCCTGCCTGCGTACCCTCCCCACCCCAGCGCCGCCCTGGTCTAGGCTGGCCTCCTCGCTTCCCACATGCCTGCCCTCACCCTGTCAGTAGTCCCAGTGCCTCCCTCTGCCCGCCAGCTCCCGCATTAACGAACTGGTGCACACCCTCACTCACACCGTCATTTCCTCACCCGTCCACCATGCACTACATGCACACCACTCCCACATTAGCACACTCACACATTTGCACACACGCTCACACATTTCTGCCTGTGCTCACCAGCCGGCCAGCCTCGTTGTTATGCAGTTGCACCAAAGCACGGATGTCTCCGCGTCCCCGCTTGTGCCGGGCGTCCATGAAGAGTCTAGACTTCTCATCCCCGAAGTCCACGTCGTCACCACAGCCTCCCCACTCCCATGCGGCGCTGCCATCTGAGGAACTGGTGAGGCCTGGGGGCCCAGGGGTGCCTGGCAAGCCCGGGGGTCGAGGTGGGGCCCGCCCGCGGGGCGCCTGACAGCCACACTGCAGCAACTCACCCATGGAGCAGGCCTGCGTGACAGCGTGGCTGGCGCCCGCAGCCGTGATGGCAAACACGAAGGCTGTCTCCCGGATGTCTGCAGGTGCAGGGAGGGTCGTCAGCATCAGGACCAAAGCTGGGTCCTGGGCTCTGCGGTGGGCGAGGTGGTGCGGCGTGGGGCTGGGAGGGTCAACAGGGTCGGGGCCGTGCACCCATAGACGGGTGGGGGAAGTGGGACTTAGGCAGCACCCCCAAACCACACCCTCTCTTCTGACCCCCCAAGGAAAGGAAAGCAGAGCCCTCTGGGTCTCTTCCCCAACGGACCCTGTTGCAGGATGCGCCCAAAGGCCTTGCTGTGGCTGGAGCAGTTCCATCGGCGGAAGCGGAACTGGAACTGGCACTCTCGAACCCCCAGTCGGGCGCCTCGGGCTAGCTCAGCCACCACTTCCGGTTCAGCTTGGCATAGCTCAGCCTGCCGCCCTGCCAGCCGCCGGGCCTTCCTGCAGATGCTGGTCGGGTCCATGACCAAGGGGCTGCCCACAGCCCTGGGAAGGAAAGAACAGCAGGTCAGGGGTGTAACTTAAAGGGCTTAGGGGGATGGGAGAGGGAGATCAGGCCCATCAGACCCACAGACAGGAGCTGGGACTTGCCTCTTCTCCCACCTCAACCCCAACCTAGATTGAAATTGGCCTGTCTAGTTCTCTTACCATCCTGTGTCTGGGTCCCCTCTTAACTAGGTTCCAGACTGAAATTGCTACTGAACAAGGATTCAGTCTCAGCCTTCTATGCACATACATCTTCATTACTAAATCCTCAAAGGAATTTAAGTCAAGGTGAGGGCAGCCGTCACAAGTAGGCCAAGGTTAAAATTCAACAGGCCTGGCCCAAAGGGGACACAAGGAAGAAATTAACAGAAGGAAAATCAAGAATGCTGCCAAAAGCACTATTCACAATAGCTAAGCTATGGAAACAACCCAAATGCCCAAAAAGAGATGACTGGATCAAGAAGATGGGGTCCATATACACCATGGAATATTACTCAGCATTCAAAAACGATAAACTCATGCCATTTGCAGCAACATGGATGGTGCTGGAAGGGATCATGCTCAGCGAAATAAGCCAGAAAGAAAAAGAAAAATACCGGATGGTCTCACTCATAGGAGGAATTTAGAAAACCTAAATAAGGTACCAGGAAAAAGACTAATTATAATAAAGTAAAAATCAACAAGCAACAAGCAACTATAAACCAGAGACACACTACAGTGGAGAAGGGAGTAGGATCAAAACAAGGGTGGTGGGAATTTTATAGGGACTATAACCAAGATGAAAATGCATACATTGTACAAAAATGAAAAATGATATAAAAATATACAAAAAAATTTACTAAAAAAAAAAAAAAGAATGCTGCCAAAGAAAAGGAAATATATGGAGATACCAAAGAAAAGTACACAGTAACAGAAGAGGACCACAAGCCAAATATGTGCCCTCTGAACTACCCTGATGCTAGAAAGGCAGGAGCAATCCCAGGGCTCTAGAAACTCACTGGGTGTTAGAATGGCCGGGGAATAGAGCCTCTGAAGACTCATACCTCCTCTCTACCCCAAGTTTCTCCTTCTGTAAAATGGGAAGGTTGTGCTGATCTCTGAGGTGCCCCCTCCCACCCTGATAGCTTCTGTTTCCCCACATTGGAGCAGGAGGAAGGAGCTAGGAACGCAGTCTCTGAAGCATCATTGTGAGGTAGGTGACAGTGACCCTTCTCCTGTTCCCAGGTCTGTGGCCCTTCCAGAGCAAGATGGTGGCAAGCCCAGCCCTGGGATTGGGGTGACACAACTGATTGAGGGGAGGAGGCAACGTCTGGCTTGGTGGTAAAGACTTCCTAGGAAGCTTCACATGCTTTCAGAAACCCCCATTCTCAGGCTTCATCCACCATTTGGTTTCCATGCACCAGATCCCTGAAGGTTTGCTCAGCTAGAGAGTCACACCCGAGTGGAACCCTTTTACTCAGCTTAGCTGAAATCCCTGTCTTGTAGGAATGAGTGATGAGAACACTTGGGAGCTGAGGGTCATTTGAGACTACTGAGAAACCACTCACGAGAAGGCAGAAAAAGACGCTGGAAGGGGGAAAGTGGCAACGGGGAATGCCATGGGAAGCGGTGACAGGTGGGTACCAAAGGTCAAGGTGGCCTACTTTTCAGTTTAGGGTTAGTGCACATCTGCCCCACTGTCCCCATCTGCTCCACAAGTACAGGCTGCTCAGGCATGTTCTGACCCCACAACAAGGAGATGGATGGGCTTACACAGCAGCAAGAGGGACTTAGGTCTTCAGGTAGAGAGAGCGCCCCCACAGCTGGGCGTGAGACACACAACGCCCGCCTGGATCAGGTCGGTGTCATCACCCCTCCCCAAGCAGGCGGGAGCCAAGGTTTTCTTCTAGGTAGAGACAGAGTCCAGCCCTTCTGCCTCCCTGCTTAGGACCTGCTGTCACTGCATTCCACCCGGGGAGGGCAGCCCCAACATTTTCCCACGCTAGAGAAGGGATGGCTGGAGCAGAGGGGAGTGGGCCAGACCAGAGCAGCCTGGCTATCTCCCAATAACCTTCAGGAGTTGACCAGCGTGCCCTCTCCCCACGCCACCCCCCATCCACTTACAAAATGGACTTGAGGCCATGTCCAGCGTGCTTGTTCAAGGTCAGTAAATAAAGCCACAAACACCTTGGAGAGTTAGCACTGCCATTTCCTTTGTCTTCCCAGCAGAGTTTTAGGTGCCTAATCCATATTTCCCCCTAATTTTATTATGAAAGTTTGCATATTATGATCAACAAATTGAATATTACAATGAAGACCATCTAATATACGGTATTAGAATTCACACCATCAAATGCATGTTTGGAATGAATGAACGGCATGATCTTAAGGAGAAGGCCCTCACTGGCGCCCAGGCCCTCCGTACCACATGTGATTTCATGACTACTAATTAGCTTCCTTAAACATTTTATTTCCCACTACCAGGGCAGGGAAGCAGGCCTCTTCACAGCTGTCCAGCTCCTCTCCTGCCACCTCACATCTAGGCTCTGCCCAGGACTGTGGGACTCTGCAAACTCCTGTCCCCAACCCTTCTCATGCCACTAAGCTCCCCAGTTCCCCCTCCCCAGCACTGCCCTCTGCTAACTCCCTGCTTTCCCAAGGTTGACTGCCTTATCTCCCCAAGGTTATTCTGCCCCCATCCCTCTCCTGTCCCTCCTGCTACCCCAAGAAAGCAGGAGAGGTGGGGTATGCAGGAGAAAGGCAAAAACCCCTTGACCTTGTCTGCTTCCCAGGGGCTAGAGATAGGAGAGGAATCGGGAGAGCATGAAGGGGCAGGGCCCCTCAGGAGGTGTGGCCGGACCTCCACAGGATGGAGGGGCTGCCCCAGAGCCAGTTCCTGGTTGGAGTCTGGCTCCCCAGGCTGGCGTACTGCCTGGGAACTAGGCTTGTTTACAAACTGATCAGAAGGAGGGATGGGCAGTAGTAGCGACCAGGATCCCAAGGGACCAGCTTGCTCCCTGCCCTCCTGTCCTGGCTCCCATCCTCAAGTCAATGGAAAGAAAACTCCAGAAGGGGAGTGGGGGCTGGGGGGTGTGGGCTAAGCCTTGCTTCTGTGCCCTGCTCTCTGTCCGAGCTGGGTGGGATGAGCTGCTCTGGTAGGTCAGTGTCCCTCTGGGGGACTTCAGAAAAACAAGGAGTTAGCACAAGAAGCTCACATAGTCCGCTGACACTAGCAGTCGGCTCCACATGGGGAAATCACTCCCCTTGTCTCTTTCTTTTGCCCCTCCTTCCTTTCCTTCTGCTTCTTGAGGGAATGAGCTCTGCTCATGGGCCTCCAAGGCAGTATTGGCAAGGGGTCAGCCCGGAGAGGATGTGTCCCTTTGGGCGCATCTGTCTGTTTGTTTTTGCTGGGGGGTTGCGGGAGCACCGTGCCGGCAGAAAATATATAATATGTCGGATCTGAGCTCCTAGTCAAATAGCCATTCCTGCATAGAAAAACTGAGAGAGGGGCCTCCCTGGTGGCACAATGAGTTAAGACTCAGCACTATGAAGCTATCTGCAGCCACTGCAGCAAGAGTTTGATCCCCGGCCAGGGAGTTACCTACACGGTGCAGCAGACCTCTCCTGTCTTGCCTGCTGCTCCCCTCAGCAGTGAATTTCGGTCAGTCTGCCTGTTCTGTTCCCCACTCTGTCTCTGGTGAATCCTCTCACCCCCCCCCCACAACTCTGGCCTGTACCCCAGTTATTGTATGTGTAAATAAATAAATCTTTAAAAAAGAAAAACTGAAAGAGGCTAGCCCCAAAGGAAGTCAGTATGCAGACAGGGAACAAGCCTCAGGTTGGCCATTCTAACTGCCTTGGCCTGGCACCAAGACCTTCCCAGGGACCCTAGTTGGGAAAATCAATGGCTGATTGCGGAGGCATCAGGGGCCAGCGGACTCCTTCTAGCAACATCTGAGGCTCCAAGCCCTGGAGGCCCTGGGGTTCAGGCCAAACCTACCTTTCTGTCCCTGATTTCAGAGGGCTAAAGAACGCCATGGATCATCTCGTTCACTTCACCCCCATAATACAGATGAGCAATGAGAAGGGAAGTGACTGGCCCTGGCCACTCAGGGGAGGGATCCCCAAGGCAAGGAATTTAGGTGAATATTTTAAAACCAAATGGGCTGGAGGAAAAGGAGGTCAGAGGGGTCAGACAACCTCAGGTGGCTGTGCACACTCCCTCCACAACACCGCACTCCCAGCAGGGTTGGCTGTCTGCGTCCATTCCTGATACCACTGCTGAATTTATGGTTTCAGAGCCACCCTCTCCCCACCCCTTAACTATTAAAATCTTACTTGGCATCTTGCCAAATGCACCTCAGGCCCCCCCCTTGCCCTGAGGAGTTGCCCCAGCCCTCACTGACCCCCCCACCTCACCCCAGGTCCTTGTTATCCACATAATGATTTTATCATGTTTTCTTGTCTTATCTCTGCCATTCGATAGCAAACTCATAAAGACAAGGATCTCATGTGAAAGCTTCATGTCATTAGCAGAGCCACGCAAGGCCTTGGGGAGCTGCTGGACGTAGGTTTAGAGCCAGGCTTTGCCACGTGTGTGTTCTCTGATGCTGACAAGGCTCCAGCATGTGGCGTGGCACGTAGTGTTTGCTGATGGGCTGATGAGACCTAACCTTGTGAGCCTCAGTTCCTGCAGCCACAAAGTGGAAACAAATCAAACTACCTGCCTACCTCCCAGGGTACCTATAAAAGAGCCTGTCAGAGAATAAGCCCCAGTAAGTGTCTTCGTCCTCTCATTCACATGGTGCTTCCTCTCTTGGGTCTGCACAGCACAGGGTGAATCTCGAAGGAGGACAGGCAGATTGTGGCTTCCTGAAAACGCTTTCGCCCACTCTCTGCCCTTACTGCTCAGCCTGCAGCCCAGTGTCTCCTCCTCCTATATCAGCCCTGCCTGGACCAGAGGCCCCTCCAGGACCCCTCCCTTTCTCCCGCAAACACTCTGGGTGGATTATTGAGACCCAGGGGAATCTCAGACTCTTGATGCCCAGTCTCCTCAGACGGGTCCCCTCGCCAGCCCTCCCTCATTCTCCTGCACTCACCTCCAGGGTCCCTTGTCTGACCCCTACCTCCCAGGAGCCAGCAGAGGGAGCCCTGAGCCCTGGGGCTGTGGGTGGGGGCTGCACAGGGGTGGGGGAGGTGGGTGGTGGAGAAGGGGCAGAAAAATGTTGCCTGACGGCTGCTGAGGCGGCTGGGCCCGGGCCTGTGCCCGCCCGCCTGTCCTGTCCTGCTCTGTCTAACTCGGTAATTACTGCTCCCCCTCCCCCAGTCCCTACCCCCACCCCAACCACCACATCAAAGTCAGTGATGCCCCAGCTCCATTAACCCCTGCCTCTCCACCGCCCACCAGCCACCCATTCTGCCCCTCCCCCACGGGCCCAAGTTGGTCCCTCTCTGCCCCGCGCAGGACAGGGCTCTTCCCACCTCCTCACACTTGTCCTCTTCTCACAGCTCCTGGAAAGGCAGGGCTTTCCCTTACCTGATGGGCTTCATCACACAAGAGTGCTTCCTGTTGGTCAGGGCTGAGGGGGGCTAGGAATGGACACAGCGATCCTTCATGGGCGCCCCCTAAGAGAATGTCCTGTGCCTTCTGCTCTCCCACACGGAGGTGGGAGCAGCCGTGTGAGGGAGGGCCTGGGAGGGCAGGAGGGGCTGTGGCTGGCCCGGTACCCCAGCCCTCACTGCACACAAGGACAGGTCCTCAGCAGGGGGTGGACTGCCAGGCCTGAGTCCTCAGCTACCTGTGCTCTGGGTGGCCTTGGGCAAGTCACCTCCTGTCCCTGGATTTTGCTGGACTTGTCACCGTAAATGAGAAGGTTGACCCAGATGATCTCTATGTCCTTTCCAGATCTAATTTCTGGAATTAAATGGAGGGCTCAGAGTTGGATGGCCCAGCCCAAGGCGGCCAGGTGGCAAACAGAAGAACCCTCCCTGACCTTTCCCTCTCTTCGTTCCTCCTCAGGGAGTCTGGGGATGCACGCAGGGTCCTGCCCCAGGCAGGCGGGAGGGTGCAGGCTAGAGGGCACTCTTCCCCCGTCCCCAGGGATGGCTTCTATGTTCCCTGAGCACCTCCTGCTCTGCCTGGCTGGGTGCCCTGCTGCCAGCCTGACTGAGGCCTGGCTGCCTGCCCCGCCCTCGCCTCATCCCTTCCACAGCTGCATTTCTCCATCAAAGTACACATTCTGGAATCCCCCTTGCTGGGCCCTGGTGATCAAACCTCCCACAGATCTCCCCCCACCAACTTCTGGCTTCCAGTGAGAACAGGGCAGGAGGGGCTGCAGGGAAATGTCACAGTGCCAGTGCTGTGGTGGGCTTGGGGCCCGCTCCGGCCCAGATCAGGCCAGCCTCCTTTCACCCCTGCCATTTTCTGCTCACAGTCCCATTGTTTCCCTCCAGGGGAAGCTACCAAGGCGGGAGGTTTGCAGGGGGGCACTGGGTGTCCTCCTCATCCCACCCTGAGCTTGTCAGGCACCAGCAACAGGACTGCCATGAAGGGCCAGGGCCTCCAGATAAAGCTAAGAGGGGAAAGGGTTTCCAGGCCCAGCCTGGAGTGGGGGTCATAGCTGGAAACCTGGAGTGTCAGGAAGAAGCATGGGCCCTTTCCCTGCCTCTGTCTGCACCCACACATGAGGCTGCCCTAGGTCTGGGGGGAGGGGACTTTCAAAAGGCAAGATGAGATGGGGAAGAGAGTGAGACTGAGTGGTGATTTTCCTACTGGAACAAGGGAAAAGTTCCAGTAAACCCCTTCATAGTACATACAAAACAACCAGAGGACAGAGGAAGAGGGAAAAAAGGAGACTGATTTGGCCTTTCTGTGAGAGTGAGTTGTTTCCTACATCTACTGGCTGAAGGTATAAATAACAATGGGTCAGACTTTGAGAAGAACTTGCTGGGAGGTGGAGGGAGGGTGGGAGCAGAGTGGAAGGGGTAGGAGTTGGGGACCAGGAAGCTATAGCTCCTCCCTTCTCTTTCTCACTCTCAAGACCAGCTCTGTCAGGGCCAGAGCATAGGCTGAATGTCCTGGAGGCTATGGGCTGGACGAGATGACCTCCAGAGAGCCTGGCCAATGTCCTGGAATCTGGGATTCTGTGATTCACAAAGATATGATTACAGATGGGGGAGAGACAGACAGAGAGGCTGGAGGCAGAATTTAGAAAGCATGCATTGCATGGTGGGAGAAGGGGGAGAGAGGGAGAAGGTGGAAGAGAAACATCTTTGGAACCTGGATCCTGAGGCTATTCCAGGGCCCGGGCCACTGCCCTCTAGGCACCTTCTTTCCTAACCAGGACAGTTCTCACTCAGAGCTCCTGGGTCCTCTCTGCTCCCAGCCTGACTGCTGCTAGAAAGTCAGAGGAGATGACAGTGTGTTCTGCAGGTCCAGCTGCTCTCCTGTCCACCACTGGAGCATTGGCCTGGCCAGGAGAATATCTGAGAACAGGGAGAAGATCAGCAAGCAGGTACAAGATAGCAGAGAACAACCTGGAAGTTCCTGGCCCCAAAATATTCCTAACTAAAAGGGTGTGTGTGTGTGTGTGTGTGTGTAGAAGTGGCAGGGACCTCAGGCCACCTAGGATGCTGGGTCTGACCCACCAGCCCAAACTTGATCATGGAAGGCAATGGTGGGGTGGGTGGGGACAGGAGTGCAAGCGGAGTCAAAAAGCCTCAGAAAGGGAATCTGGGCTCAGACCAAAGGAATGAAGTGTCAGAAACAGATAGAGTAGAGTGAGGCAGCCAAGGCAGGTGGGAGAGGCAGGTTCTCTCATAACATCTGAGGGAGGCAGTCACTGCACACCTTATCACCCCAGCCCCTCACTCTTCACTCCGCTCCCCCTGCAGCTGTGGCAGTGAAGGCCTCTGTGTTCTCCCACACCTGCCCTCCTCCCCGCCGCCCCTGCTCCCCAGCTTCAGGGTCAGTCTCCAAGGGACCAGGCTTGGCTCCCAACCAACTGCCCCTCCTTCACACAGGGACCTCCTCCCCTCAAGGATACAAACCCCATAATCAACCAATTCAGCAACATTCTACACAACTGTCCCCAGCACATTCAGTCTCCAGGGCCCCCAAAGCCAGTGTTCTGCCTTCCAGGAGCAGAGAAGAGACCCAAGAGGAGACGGTTGTCAGTAAAAGGAAGTAACTGGCATCCGTGCCCACCGCGGGGGTACAGTGGGGACAGAGAAGCCAAGGAGGGAAGACAGAGGCACCACTTCGCGAGCAGAGTGGTATTTCAACCCGAAGGATGTGAACCCTCTGAATGGAAAGGCAGGAGGGGAAGGGCAGTGCCCAGCAGAGAGAGACCCTGTCCCCACACCTCGGGAAAGAGCAAAGTTAGTAAAGGTGTGTTTAGAGAACAAGAGGGAGACCCCTTTACAAAGTTTTGCCGGGGACCCCAGATTTTAAATTTTAAATTAATTTCCCTTTCTCCCATGAGGACTCCCCAGGAGGATGCAGGGGTGCGCAGGAGCAGATTTACATTGACTGAGAATCCCCAATGTCGTCTCACTTCATAGGTCACCCTACCTCACCCTCCTACCCAGCCTGCCGGGGGGGGGGCACTGCCTCCCCATTTTACAGCTGAGACATTGTGGGGGCGAAGAGAAGTGACTGGCCCAAGGTCACAGGTTCAACAAAAGGTGCAGAATCAATCTCGGATCTATTTCCCAGTTTCTACTGCGTTATGCCAAACCAGGGTCAAAGGACGATAGTCCCGAGCCGAGACCTAGGTCGTCCGCGACCGGCCCCGCACTGACACGGACCGGGGGGCTGGTCTCCCCGCACCGCGGCGGCGGGGGGGGGGCCGGGCGCCCCTGCGCGGGCATCCTGCTCGCGCGTCCCCGCAGGAGAGGCATCTGCCGGCCCCACCCCTGCTTCCAAATCCGGAGGCGGGGGCGGAGCGGAGGGCAGAGCGTCCAGCCAATGGCATGGCGATATGCAAATAGACACAGCCCTGGCTTCTCAGGATTGGCTGGCGCGTCCGCGGTGTCGTCCAAGTCCCTCCTCTCCGAACACCCACCTATTCCCGGCGGGTTCGCAGCCCGTGGGACCCGGACGCCAGAAATCTCGGGGGTCCGGGTTTCTGAGCAGTCCCGACCCGACGCCCCACTTCCCGGTCTCTGCCCAGCCCCCGACACGCAACGTTTCTGCGACCTCTGCCGCCTCGATGTCTGCTCCGGCTGGGGCCGGGTCCCGAGGCCGGGTCTGGGGAGCGTCCCCATGGTTTGCCGGGCCAGGCCCGCCTTCCCCTCGGGGGTCCCCGGGCCCCCAACGGCACACTTTCCACCCGTACCCCCATGTGGAAGGGATGGGCCCCGGAGTCCTCCCACTGCCTTTCCTCTGGTTTGTCCGGGGGGAGCAGTAGAGAGAGCCGGGGCCTGACTCGGTGTCCCTTCCGCGCCAGCTCCCGCCCTCCCGCCCACTGCGGGACTCGGGGCCGTCGGGGCGCGGCGCGGGGGAAGAGGCGGCCGTCGGGCTTCCCTGCCGGGGCTCCCGCCTCGCCCCTCTCGCCAGCTCCTGCCCGGCCCCTAAGTCCAAGTCCCCCCGGCACACGTCCTTCTTCCCCTCTCGGACGGCAGGTCCCGGGTCCCCTGGTTTCTCCTCAGCGCCCCCCCCCCCCGCGTTCCTGGGGCGCTCGCAGCCGGCGGGCGGGGCGACCGGGCGGGGAGACGCTCCGCGGGCGCGGGCTGCAGCGCGCGAGCTGCGGGCCGGCGTCCCGGGCAGAGGCAGCAGCGGCGGCGGCACGCGCGCCCCGGCCCCGAGCCCCCGACGCGCCGCGTCCCGCGCGCCCGGAGCCCAGCAGCGGCCGGAGCGGGCTCCGCGCCCCGAGCGGCCCCCCCCCCGCCCCGCGCGCCCGGAGCGGCGCCGCGACGGCCCGCGGCACTCACCACCACAGCCCGCCGACGTGCGCCGGGCCCAGGAGCAGCAGCAGCAGCAGCGCGCGGCTGGCGGGCGCGGGCGGCCGCATCGTGAGCCGCGCGGGCGGGCGGGCGCGCGCCGGGCCGAGGCTGCAGGGCCGACCGGGGCGCGGGGCCCGGCTTCAGCGCGCGCGCGGCGGCGGCCGGGAGGCGACGGCTCCGGCGGCGGCGGGGGGGCCATCCCGCGCGAGGAGGGGCGCGGCGGAGGCGGAGAGCGGACGGGGCCGCCAGCGCCTGTGTCTCCCGCCGAGCTCGCTCGGGAGAAGAAATCAGAGCCGGGGGCGGGGGCGGGAGGGGAGCGGGCCGGCGGGGGCGGGGGGCAGGGGGCCGTGGGGGTGGCAGTTGCGACAGTCAGGCGCGGGGCTCTCGGGAGGGAGCCGTGCGCCCCGGGGCGGCGGGCGCGCAGCTCCGCGAGGGCGGGGGCGAGGTCCCGGGGCGGGGCCGGGCGCGCTCGGGGCTGCGGACCCGCCCGCCTCGCCCCCTCACCTCGCCGCCCGCCGACGGGAGCCCCGGCCGCCGCCCGGAGTGCGGGGCAAGAAGGGGCGGGGAGGGAGGGGCGAGGGGCGCGGAGGGGGGAGGAAGAGGAGCTGAGGAATGGGGGACGGGCTGGAAAGGAGACGTTTGACAGGTTTGTTGACTGTAAAGAGAGAAAACTTCCCAGGAATGAGGGAGTTTGGGGGGGGTGCGGAGGGAGACGCTCGAGAGGGGGCCGGGGGGGAAGCCGGTCCGGGACTCTGGGTGCTCTCGAGAGGGCGTCGCGCCCTTCGGCCCGACGCAGACCCTGGTGGGGTCGCCTCTCCCCCGGCCCAGCCTTCGAGCCTCGCGCCCCTTCCTCGGCCTTTCCCTGTGGAAGGAGCGAGCCCCCGGCCTCCGCTCGAGCTCCCCAGCCACCCGCCTCCTCAGGCCGCCGTCGTGGAGGGGTGCGGAGGGGCGGTTAGACGGCAAGAGCTGCCCCTCGACGGGCCGCGCGCTCGCGCTCGGCGGGGGAAGGAGCGATGGGGCGAAGGCTGGAGGCTTCCCGGAGAGCGAAGGGTCGGAACTTGCCGCAGCCGGGCCTCGCGCGTCCGTCCGCGGGTCCCGGCCTCGCGTTGTTCCACCAGCTTGACCCGGGGCAGAAGGGGTGGGAGAGCCAGCTGCAGGTGAGATGGCGTTTATCTGATTCTCTAATGCCACAAAAATGTCTTTGATGCCCCTGGCCCCCTCCCCACGGGGGGGAGGGGAGATCAAAGGCCCCGTGGGGAGGAGGGACAGCTCCATTCATCACACCAAGCGGCCTGGCAGCCGCTGCAAGCTGCAACCCCGGCTCCTGGCCTCTACCTCTGGCCCACGTGCCCCAGGGTGCCGAGGGACAGGTGGCACAGGAGGTTCCCATGAAGGGCCGGTCTCCCTGTCTCTGCCGTCTCGAGTGGCCAGCCACCCTCAAGGGTGTCCTGGGGTGGAAGCACAGAGCGAGGACCACTAGCCCGTGTGGCAGAAACTCGGGGCGCCCAGGGGAAAGCTCCTGGTGTTTCAGAGTGGGAAGAGTAGCTTCACTCTCTAACTGCAAGTACTCTCCCCACACCCGGGGAACGGAGAGAGGGCAAGGTCCTGGGTCTCCCAAAGAGTGGGGATAAGGGGACCAAGAGGGAGGCCAAAGGCATGCAACAAAAGAGCACAGATGCCTGTCCCAGGGGCGCTGGCAGAGCTGGGAAAGGAAGGGCGGGCACGTGGAGAGGACAAATGGAGACACCCTGGCCTAGGGAGGCCCCAGGTGCACTGCAAGCCTGCTCCGCCCCCCCCCCCAAGCTGCCTGCCCGTTCCTGGTTGCAGATAGTCTAATCCCCGTTCCTGGTGCAGATAGTCCTGGTGAGGGCACTAGGGCTGGCTAGGGGAGGAGAAGGGACCCTGGGGGCTGGGGAGGAGGGAGGGCTTGTGTCCAGGTTAGATAGTGGGAGAGGGCATGGCCCAAGTGCTGCCCTCTTCCACTTTTGCTTTGGATAGCATCCAATGCCACACACAGCCCCTGCACCTATTAATTCTGTACCCAGCTTCTGTTTCTGTAGGGCAATGCCAACTCTGGACACTGCACACTCAAGCAGATACCCTAAGTTGGGCACACGCTCGGATGAGATGGTGCTGGACAGGCACTTGGAGAGCTCTGGGGTCCCTGGAGACGGCAGGTGGCCAATAACCAGCCCCTTGGGAACCACTGCCTGGGTTTCCAAACCCCCTGCCCGCCCCTGCCCCCACCCTGCTACTGTTATTGCAGATTATGAAATGCTCTCCCTATCCTGCATTCTTCTCCGAGGCAAGAATTTTAATGTATTTGTCTTTGTCATCAGGGGACCAGGGCTCTGGGACCGCCCTGCCTCTGCCTGAGGAGGGAGCGCCCCAAATCCAGGCCCTGCTGCCTCCAGACCCCAGCCTCTCTCCATCACCACCCCCTCATGCCCTAGTCCTGCCCCTTGCCTCCCCCTCCTAAGACATAGTCTCTCTGTGGGGTGGATAAAAATGATGTTATTGAAACAACAGAATTGGGAGCAGTGGCAGGGAGCAGGGATCAGCTCAGGAAACTGGGGTGTTTGCCAAGAAGCCTTCTCCCCCGCAGGCGGCCTTTCTGCCCCCACCCCCCACCTTTCCTACAAACACACACAGATCGCCCCACCCCTCCTGCAGTATTCTCTCTGGCCAGATCTTGCAGAATATTTGGCCATCCCTGGACTCCACAAGCCCTCACCCTGTCCCCCGCATCCAGAGTCCTGTCCCAGAATCAGTCAGACCAGTAGTGCCTGTAGAAGCAGGGGGGCAGGAGGGAGTAGAAGGCTGGGGTCCATGATGAGCAGACCTCCTGAACCCTAATGTGCAGGACCTCTGTTCCAAGGGCAACCTTGCCTCTGCTCACTCCCCCTTGCATTCTCTGTACTTCCATCTGGGAGTTGGCTGGCATCTGGGCAGACCCAGAGCATGACTTGTGCCCTTAAGGCCTACAAGCCTTCAGCATGATGAGTTCAGATGTTCCTGAGGCTTCAGTCCACTATTACCTTGGAAGGCTTTCCAGAAAGCAGGACTGGGGGACCTATGAGAAGGACAGATCGAGATGTGAGCACACGCAGGCTCTCACACCCACAGACACACAGCTAGGTATAGGTCTCCAGATAACTCCACGGACACCCCAGGACACCTTCCTTCCCTACGCAATGCGGGATAACTTTCACCCACTGGTACAGATGGACCCACAGATGGGCTGACTCAAGCTGAGACACATGCCTGCCTGCCTGGAGAGCTCTCTCACACACACATACACACACTCACCACCTCTGCACAGACATGCATGTAGGGGAATGTTCACGAGGGACTGGACTGGGAGCACAGCAGCTCCGAAATGGGCAGCCAGAATAGGGTGGCCCTCCCCGACCCTGCCCGCTCTCCTCTGAGCACTGATCTCCTCCACATCTTCCTCCCCGGCTCTGCCTTTACACCCTTTCTAGGCCCTCGTGCAAAGGAGCCAGAGAAGGAGAGCAGTGGAAATCTGGTTGTGGGGCTGGAGAGGAAGGAGGGGCAGAGGTGGGGACTGTGGAGGGGAGAGAGGCAGCTGGAGGTAGATAACATCAGAATTGCTGCAGGCAAAAGCAGAGCCTTCTCTCTGTCGGATTCCCTCTCGAGCTGTCTCTCGGTGTGTCTTTTCACGTCTCTCCCATCTCCATAATTTGGTCTCTATTTGTGTCTGTCTCTAAATCACTTTCGCTGTTTCTTTGTTTCTCAGAACGACCGAAGCTGCAGGAGCCCAGGAATTTGGGCCTGTGACCCTTCCCCTCCCTATAACCTCCCTCCCTCCCTCTCTCCCGACTTCCCTCCCTCCTCTTTCC